GGGACCCACACTGGAGCAGTCTGTTCCTGAAGGACTGCACCCCATGGAAGGGACCCACACTGGAGCAGTTCGCAAAGAACTGCAGCCTGTGGCAAGACCCACATTGGAGAAGTTCCTGAGGTCTGTCTCCTGTGGGAGGGACCCCAAGCTGGAGCAGGGGAAGAGGGTGAGGAGTCCTCCCCCTGAGGATGAAGGAGTGGCAGAGACAATGTGTGATGAACTGACCGCAACCCCCATTCCCCGTCCCTCTGTGCCACTCAGGGGGAGGAGGTAGAGAAAATCAGGAGTGAAGTTGAGCCTGGGAAGAAGGGAGGGGTTGAGGGCAAGGTGTTTTTAAGATTTGTTTTTATTTCTCATTATCCTACTCTGATTTGATTGGTAATAAATTAAACTAACTTCCCCCAAGTTCAGTCTGTTTTGCCCATGATGGTAACTGCTGAGTGATCTCTCCCTGTCCTTATCTCAACCCACGTGCCTTTCGTTATATTTTTTTTCTCTATCTTGTCCACCCAAGGAGGGGAGTGATAGAGCGGCTTTGGTGGGCACCTGGTGTCCAGCCAGGGTCAACCCACCACACGGTGTCTCCTCTGGCCCCAGAACTGCAAATATTTTGTCATTTTGCTGCTCTGAAAAAAGTCCCATTCACTCCAGTTGACAATTCTTCCAAGGATGATGCCTTCCTCAGGTAGTTAAAATATTCATTAATGCACTCAACTTTATTTTTGTAATTCAGGATGTGCAGCTGGACAGGGTTTTGTTTGAGACATCCCTGTACTCACCTTTGACTACCTGTCTCTGGCTGTCCCCAGACTCCACAGAGAAGACCTGGTACTGACTTGGACCTTTAATTATGGCATTCATCCAATGATACTTCTTTTCCAGATCACTGCTCATTGCTCCATTTCTGCCTCTACGGATACACTGCATCATTTAATCATGAGACTTTTCTCAGATACATACTACCAAACTTTCTCTCCAAGACCCTTACCCTAGTTTTCTGAAAACTAAATTTACCTTTCTGCAATCTAGGCTGAGGCTCTTTGTGAATCTGTCTGGGAGCTCAGCATCTCTCACACGCCATTTACATTCTGGATCCAGGTAAGGAAGAAAACTTTGCATACTCCCTCCTGCAGCTCACCTGCATTTGTTGCCATGATGAATACGCCAAGATCTCCACTAAGAGCACCTCCAAAACCTGTCAGGTGCACCTACTGTCTGCCAATTTGTGTACCTGCTGTTCAACCCTACCTCTTGGTAAAAGAAAACATTCACACTCAGATTTCAACTAGATTTGACAAGAAGTCATACCTTTGCTACATCAATTAAAAACTTCTCCACTCAAAAGCACAGAGCACACTTGCTTCTATTTACAGAATTTGCAGATGGACAAATGCACGATGCAACAGTTGCTCTATATCAATTTACGCCACCTAGAGAAACTGTTTGTGGGTATTTAAAAAAACAGAATATAGAACATAAGGATAAGCTCTTAATCACCATTAAATGAACCAATTTGTGTTGCACAAAAGAACAACACTGAAGATAACATTTCAAACTAAATAAACCAAGCCATTTACTTACCATTGGCAGCCTGGATTGAAGCATCTGTAGATCATCATAACCATAAATCTGCTTAAAGACAGATAAAAATACAACATCATTATAACACTTTTCTCTGACGTTGACCAATTTGGGGCTTTAAACAGAGTTTGACCTAGGCCCAGTCTATTTTGAAGGTGTACAGCTATATGTCGCATTCTGCCATCGTGGCACATAAAATACAGTATTTTAATGCTAGTAGAGCTAGGCTTAAAATGCCTTGTCACTCTGATGATGTTTCTTGGTGACAGCAGTCCTCTGAGGAGAGTTTGACTGTCCCATCTTCAATGGGAGTAAGAGCAACAGCCTTCTTTGCTGCAGTCATTATTTCTGATAATAGCAGGATTTAAGATTTGATGACTAGACCACAAAGCAATCTATGGTATCCTCTCACATTCAGTGTGATACAGAAAGATGATTAGAATAAAGTTTCTGATTCAAAAAACAGATAACCAAAAATATCTTGATTCTGGTCAGACATCAAAAAGCTATGTCCAATCTTTCAAAGTATGACAGACAGGACACATGGCACATTTCAACCATTACTAGAGTAAATCTATTCCAGCAACAAAAACGTGAATGAGTCTAATTTTACTCAAAGGGCCTAAAACCTGATACCGCTGAAAACCATAGCAACACGCATGTTAGCTTCAACAGCAGCCACATCAGGTCTGTACCAACAATTCTGCAGTTTATTATCAACAGTAAACCCCCACTGAATATATTTCATATATTCTTCAGCATTTGGAACAAGAATTCCAGGTGCAACACATGCCAAGAGAAATGCCTTGCCATAGACAGCAGCAGGTCTGGAGGGCCCTCTTGCACTAAGGGTCAAGCAATCAAGGACAGGAACAATTAAATTGCTTACTGGGTAGGCAGGCAGAAGTCCTCCAGGTCCCACAATATACTGGTTATGCAACAAGGGTGGTACACCTTGGGGCAGGTTTGGGGGAGCTTTGCCTGTAGAATCAAAATACAGACACTTTAACAAGCCTTTAGAAAAGAAGAGGCTTCAGCATTGAGACAAGATAGCTCACAAGCCCTGACAGCTACACTGTCATAGCTTGTAAAGAGCAGAACTATGCAGAACAACTGTGTTGTTAATGAAAATGCCCAAAATACCCTGAAGAGTTTAACCATGCCTCAAGGAAGGGAAAGCACAGGCTACTTAAGATTGAAAACAGTCCCATCAGAGAATAGTCTGATTTTGTCATTCACTTTGTCCCAGAGGATTACAAGAATCACAGAAACTTCTCCTTTCCTCAGTCCTCTCCTAAAGGCAAAATTTAGGCATTGTTTTCAATCTAAGAGAGCAAATTCTCCCCTTTCATTTTCTGCTCTGTCAACACATTTCCCCTTATCGCCAGCAATAGACTGGAAAGCACTAAATGTTGCCAGCATACTTTTTGAGGGTGACTTATTGCAACTAAGGATAGCAAAGAGAAGACGACTGAAACGGTTTCAGTTGCCTCCATGAAGTAGTGCTAGGAAGCAAAAGAGTACAAAAAAAATGCACTTTAGCCAGTCATCAGACACTTCATTTACAAGGTATGGGAATGAGAAATGAGAAATCCTTCTGTAAGTAAGTTTGATCTTAATATTTAGACCATTCACTTCCCTCCATAGGATTTCCTTTTAGCAGTTCAGGTTGATTAGAGGAGCAAGAGAGAATTTAGCATTTCTTCCACTTCAGTGTAAGAAGCCTCCCCACCTCATCTCTCTGTGGACCCTTTTTCTAAAGTGCTATTTACTGTGGAATGACCCAGACATCAGACACTTTTTTCCTTTCTGTAGATGTGGCAGTAGGGATGTGGCATATGATAATGAGGACACTGCAGTATATTTTGATACTGCCAAATGAATTCAAGTCACAGAGAAGACTGAAATTAAAGCTAATGTGAACTCATAGCCAAGAGCTGATCACAACGGAATACAAACTGGGCGAATCTCCTAGACCAAAACTTCCGAAGTCAGAATTGCTCTGGTGTCTATTTATAAAGCTCTTTGGGGATGGAACGTGCTATATAAATGCCACATAACACCCTAACAAATATTTCAAATACACAAAACCAGGCAACTTTATTTCATAAGCCAGCAAATAAAGCATGCTGAAAATGCTAGTCAAGAGTGTGGATTTCTTAGCATAGTTATGGCTGGTGAGATGCTCAACTGACAGCCCTGCTGACTGAAGTCCTCTGTCTATCCACATGATCTGTTAATATTGCGAACCTGAAGACACTAAGGGAGCTGCCCGTGTGGTAGCAGCTGGTATAGACACACTGGTAACACTCAGGCCAAGGCTGTTTGTAGTGTTCATACTGCTTGCCATGCTGACAACCGAAGAGGTGGTGCTAGTGGCTGAGGTTGAAGCAGTTGAAAAGGTTGTTGAGGGCTGGAGCGAAGTTGTGTTGTCAACACTAGTGTGCTAGAAAGGAGACAAAAAGAATGAGGATCACAGAGCAAATAAACCACAGT